GCTTATTCTATTCTTTCAAGGAGAGTTTTATATTCTCTTTTACACTAGGCACCACTGTTCTGGTTTAAACCGACTTACAGTTTATGGGCAACCTGAATATTTTTTTGAGGCCAGTGGCTTCCTATGTCAGTTTTCTAAGGTCTGTGAGCCACAAAATCTAGCCACCCACCCAGTGGGTGAATTCAGTTTTTTTTACTACTGGCTCTATGGGCATGGCTTGGTGGGCGTGGCAGGGGAAGGATACTATAAAATCTCCCGTCAGAGGTGATATTTGCCGGTTCTCCAAACTACTCAAAATTTCCACTACCAGTTCTGCAGAATTGGTCAAAACCTACTGAAAACCACCTCTGCATCCTCCAGTTTGGACTAATCTAATGGCTTATGTGAATGTGTATATGCAATCAGTTAATGGTTCAGTGGAGGGGTGGGATTCAAAAATCCCAGCAATTGGTTTGCTGCCCAGTTGCTGGGTGGGCATGTCCATGGTGGCATGGCCTACCAGAACTTGTAGGAGAGCCATTTTTCACTTTCCCAAGGGTCCAGAGGCCTCCCCCGGGCCTCTGGGAGGGCAAAAATGGCCTCCCCTGGGCTCTGGAACCCCCCCTGGAAGTCAGAAACATTCCCATTTCCAGACTTCTGGAAGGCCCGTTTTCCCCTCTCCCAGACCCTCCATGCGGACCCTGCACTTACCTGCATTGCGTGGGGCCAGCCGGTCAGTTGAAATATCGGTTCGGTGAACCAGATGAAAACATAACATCCGGTTTTCCTGAACTGGTCCAAACTGGTAGAATCCCACCCCTGGTTCAGTGTATCATGCAGACTCAGAAAAGTGGATTTACTGAGCAGATTATGGTAAGGTGAGGTTCACTGTGTAAACCCAAGCCTAAGGTTAAAAATATCCAGATGACCACAAGATGGCAGCAGAGAACTGAAACTGTCTTTATCTCTTTGCTGCCATATAGCATTTGTCTGGATTTTTGCAGCCTCAGGTTTCTAGCCCTAATAAACCATAGAAGAAGAGGGAAGAAACTGTAAGAATAAAGCAATGATTTTGGACGATTTTTCAAGGACATGAATGGATGCCACACAAAAAAGAACACCTGTTCTTTTTCAGAGCAGATGGCAAGGCATGACATTATTTAAGGTACCAGAAGATACATTGTTATTGGGGAATAATGTTCTTACCTTAATTAATTACATTAATGTCCTTACAAATTGCCACTGGTAATGAAAGGGATCTCTTTTCCTAGTAGCACTGTACACACTTGAAACAGTATTTGGAGTAAATGCTTCAGAACTCAAGCAAGTACAACACTTCTCTATTATTCATTGTAGCACCGATTCCTTCTCCACCGCACACGCACACCCATTCCCATTCCATGTGTATCTGGAAACAATTGTTTTAAAATTATATACAGTATTAACCTGAATCAACTGATTCTGTGAAACAGTCAAGGTTGGTTCCCCCCTCATCCTGGCTCCACCCTTAAAATTATTTTGTGATTTATCTTTGGAGGAGTAAAATTGCAGTGCCTGACGCAGACTTCAGCATTAAAAGTTTTAAATTTACCTATAAAATTTTGTTCTTTAGCCTTGGTTACCAGTCTGTAAACTAACATTATGAGTGGTCACAAACCTGGCTTGAGAACTAATAAGGCAGTTTAGGCTGTTTACAGAGTTGTATAAATTTTGTTACAGAATTGCACTCTGCATGTTTTTCTCCCTCCCAAGTTCCAGTGCCCTATCCATGGGTCAATATGTTACTGTGTTTAAAACTCAAGTATTCCTCACTTGATGCCATATACATCAAATCATGTAGTTACCCCCAAATCAGATTGCTTTTGATCAGGGGTGGGATTCAAATTTTTTAACAACCGGTTCTGTGGGCATGGCTTAGGTGGTGGACATGGCTTGGTGGTCATGTGACTGGCTGGGTGTGGCCAACTCAACATCACTCACATCAAGGCACGCATCTCCTCGCCTGGCCTCTCATGACCGTCGGGATGCTGTAACAGTCGTAAGTGTGAAAAATGGTCATAAGTCACTTTTTTCAGTGCCACTGTAACTTTGAATGGTCACTCCACAAAAGCAAAGTACCAGCAAAGGAAGGGAAAAATAACTCCAGAGAAGTTCCTGAGACAGGAAGTCTAGTCCTGCCAAGAATGTAATAAGGGCTAATGGAGAGGCAATTTCCGTGAGCAACACCAGAATATTTCCTTCCTGCCTTCCTTACAGGATTAGGCCAATGAACTGCTTAGAATGTTAACAACCAGTTCTAGCGAATAGGTGCAAACTGGTAGAATCCCACCCCTGCTTTTGATCCTGTAACACTTCTATAATTGACACAATTGTTACTTCTCAATTATCACTTGATTTTGCAGAGATTTAACTCAGAGACATTATTTAGTCAGTCATCATGTTTTAATGGATTAAACCAACCAATTGACTAAGAGCTACAGGAAGGGCTCTGTCCACAAAGGTAGCAATTTCACACAGTGAGGTTGTCAACAACAACAAAAAAAACCCAGAGGAATTAAGTATCAGGAATATTGAAACATTCCATAATCATTCTCTCCTGGCGGGGTGGGGACTGCCAAATCTTTATTGACTACAATGGCTATCATTATTGTTCAGGAGCATTTATACATGGAGATTAAAAGTAGTCAAGATGGCAGCCACAACTACAAGATTTGAAGCCTCACCTCTTTTGTGCACATAAAATTTGGGTGGGGCTCGGGTCATGCAGTCCCCACCTTGATGTTTTCTTAAACCTCTTCCCCCAGAGACTTATATGGCTGTTTATTCTCTATGCTGGCTGGGGCTAATGGGAATTGGAATTCAACAATATGCCCCAAGCCACAAAAGTTCTCCTTCGGATGAATATTATAGTTCTATCTCTCACAGTGGTTTTGCTACTAAATCTGCTACTAGTTTACTCTTAAATGCTTTGTAAGATGTTGACGGTTTGACATGTCACTGAACTTGTAACATTTTTCAGGCATGGTTTATTATGACTGTTTGCTTAAGTGATCGTTCAAAGTTGCAATGGAACCTCCCACAAGATATTTACCACCCAATTTCGAATTTACATATAGCTGCCCCACCCCCAAGTCATATTGTTTTGTGTCCTTAGCAACTGGTTCACCTTTGTGGCTCTTTGCACATCCTGTGGTAACATGGCTACAATTTTTGATGTTTTTGCTGGTTTCTGGCAGTTTTCAGCAAACATCATCCATTGGGTATAATGGATTGGTTTAATGACTGCAGCATTCGCTTAACATTTGCTGTGTTCATGTAATGCCTGCACAAAAATATTTTAAAGTCAGGTCTTGTCACATGGTGTCCTGCTTAATGATTGCAAGGACTTCTGACCATAATTCTGGGCTCAATTGCGGTCATAAATTGAAGATTATCTGTATCTTCAGTCCTACAGTGCAGTGGAGAAAAACCCTACAAACTGTCCCCATTGACAATGGAGTCACAAATTCTGCTGCCTGAATTCCCTTCAACTGAAGGGATGAAGTGTGGATTGATCCACATAACTTACTAAGAAAGTTGCTTGGTTCCCATGTCAAGTTAACCATAAATTATTCACTTTAGCCTAATCTAGCATATTGTTAGGATCTTCGGCATGTTTCTTGAAGAACATCATCTTTCTCCAAACTACTAACTTGCCTACTAAACATATCCAGGATTTTGAATTGTCCCTAATAGCTAAAATGAAAAAAATGATAATGAAACTATTTAGCATTTAATGTTCAAAGCACTTTACATACATATGCCTTCTTGGATCCCCCCCCCCCCAAATGTCCCTGTGAGGTGGGGCACTTCTAAAGCCTATATTGGATCAAACCAATTACATCAAAAATATATATAAAAACAATTGGCTGTACCAACTTCTTAAAACTATAGAATTCGATACTGCAACCAATGTATTTTTCAGTATTATTGTTTCCATAGTGAGGAAGTAGGAAGGTTTTGGAAAAGAGATGAAGTGATGCTACAGTTAACTCTCTGGTTCATATTGGTGGTGAGATTTTACTGAAACTCATCTCACGCATCCTTCATATGTGGCCATTACATATCAGAGACAAGGAATCTCTTGGCCTCCAGATTTGCTGAAATGAAATTTCCAGCATCACTCCTCATTAGCTACAAAACAGTGGTTCAGCAGTATGTAAAGGGATACATGCTCCTGTATAACGGTACCTCTAACCCATCTTGGAAATGTGAAAAACATGAAGGTTCATTTTGCCATGCGTGGCAGACTTGTGAAAACCAAAACAAAAGGATAGAAATGCATATGATATAAAGAATTTTAAAGCTCAACATTCAAGTGAAACTAGCGCTTATGGTTAACCAATTAGAAAAGCTTTATAGGTTTTGTATATGATAACTGCAGCTAACCTATTATATTCCCTAAGTTGGAAAAAATACCCATAATGGAGAAATGGATTGTGAAGATGGCAGAATTGGTGGTAATGACAAAACTGAGCAGGGATAAAACAAGTATTTTTTATAAAAGACTGGAACAGGGACTTTATGCTGAAAACGGAAAAAGTGATTTTTGGATTTGCCATTTAAAAAGTGTTGAATATTTATAAAAATAATATAAAGGTGGGATAAAAATGAATTAAAAATACAGGAAGAGAATCATGTAAGATAATTTTAAAGAGGAAATAGACAGAATAAATTTGTAATTGCTCTAAAGGAGATTGGAAGAGATTACTTCTTTATATATTTTTCTTTTTTTCTATTTGTACTATCTTTACACTTTTATCTTTTCTTTTTTGTTGGTCTCTCACTGTATTATTTTTATATTTATCTTTTAATAACTTGAAAAGTGCTAATAAAAATTATATATATATTTATATATATATAATGAAGGGGGCAAGTTCTTTGTAATAATATATCAAAAGGAAAGCAAAATTTAAGTGCCAAAATCTGTCCTCCAATTTCAACAAAGCTTCCTTCTCCCAAAAAAAGAGTCTTCTCTTTTTCTGCATCATACTATCTGCCTCATGCCCAGAATTTTTTTGAATCATTTTTAGTGTAAATATTTTTGCACTGATGAAGTTACCTAGTTTGGTAATGAAACGTCTGCAAGAAAACCACCAAGCTCAGAGAGCACCAAGGATCCTACAGTTCAATTCTACAGCTCAATCCTACAGCTACAAATATTCTATCGGTATAATCGATAATTTTATAACGTGGCAGTCTGTAGTTCTTTTTGTCCCCTATTATCTGTACCTGCATCATTCCACAGCACCTTTACCTACTTCTTCTTCTTAATCTGAAAAAGCTCTATGGAAGGAGTTTTCTTTGGTAGTCTGTCTGATTTGACTTTCACCAATATAATTGAAGGCTGGGATGCCTGACAGTGGGAGACATGGCTGTGGAATGAAAGCTAGAACACACATAAGTATCTCTCAGGCATTTTGCAACTAAGGTAAATATAAAGACACAGCCAAGAGAAATCTACAAAATGTTCTTCTCCCTTGGAAAAAGATCTGAAAGCCATAAAAAAAGAATGATTGGGGTAAATGGAGAAGACATTTTCACCATAGAAATGATTGGGCTACTTTAAAACTTAGGGGAGAGCAATTAAAGTTCACTTTGCTACTGAGGTATTCAGTATGGAGGTTCAAAGGAAGTTTTTCTAAAGACTGTCCTGACTGTGTAGCTTTTCCTTAAGACCCATTTCCCTCCTCCAGAGCTCTTCCTGCGCTTTGTGGTACATGCCGCTTATTTACAATATAAGGATGTAAAATCAAACAAATGAAAAAGTTAATAAAAAATCTGATTCATTCCAAGAACCTTTCAAATTGTTTTAGTCCCACCCCCTTTCAGCCATTTCTTCTCCATCTTTCCTATCCAGGTAGCCTCACTGTTTCTTTCCCAGTAACACATGTCATCCCAGCTGCTTGTTTGAAAGGAATGTAATCTTCTATTATTAAAAGGCATGCTGCATTCATGTTTGTGTGTGTATATGTGTTAGGATTAGAGAGCCTGTCAGTTTGCACAAAGGTTTTGTTTTAAATTTTTGTCGCCTTGTAGCAAACTGAGCCCTGGTGTGAGGGAAGCAGAAGCATTACTATATGCGTAAAAAGATGGAGAGTTAAATTCTATTTTAATTCTGTAGCACCCATGCCTCACCCTATTCTCCCTCTTCTGTTGCCTTATCCATGCATTGACCATCCTGCAGGGGGAAAGATTATCTTGAATCTTCCCCAAGTACAACAATTGGGTAGGGAGTTTCTGTGGGTTTTACACAGTGGGAATCAGAGTAATCCAGTCATGTTCATAATCTCATGCTGGCAGGGTCCGTTGTAGCACGATGGATGGAAAACCTTGCTAGCTCTTGATCTCCTGTTCTTCAGACCCATCTTGCTCCAATTCTTCCTCATCTGACTGCACCACAGGAGTTTCAGCTCCTTCTTCACTGGTGTCCAGGCTATTCAGGTCTGTAGAGGCAGATGATGTGGACGAAATTCGTGATTTGACCTCAACTGTATTGGGTACTTGCAGAGAAATATCTTCCTGGAAGGTGTTAGAATCTGGCAAAGGAGATGGACAAAAAGGAAAGAAAGAAGACATTAAGACGACTGGCACTTGGTTCATCCTGTTCCACAATATCCTGATATCAGCCCTCAGGGATAAGTGGATCTACTATACCAGATTTATTTTTTATTTTACAGCTACTGTGTATTGCAGTTGCTTGACCAAACTTGAGAACTCTGCATTAAAACTGCATGAATGTTGGTGCACATTTCTGTAAACATACATACTTCTTTTGTCATATTACCCTACTGCATACATTATCAGCTAATAATATACTAGTGTATTTTATTCTATTTTATTTTATGAACATCTATATCTTTGTGCAGACCTTTCCCTTTATGACTTACAGACAAATTTGTTGATAAACTTTGTGGAAAAATTTAGAAAACTGCAAGTTTTGAATAACAAACTTTAAAATGCTTTTAAATGCAAAATGATGTAAGTCTGCACAGAAATCTAAATTATAATTATTTTTCCATTTTTGCAAGTGCATCCATTCATGAAGACACAAAATTAACTTAAGTTCTTGTTCAGATGCTATCCAATCCTAAAATATCCTGCCACTTCATTTTGTAGAAAGTACAGTTGGAAATTGCTGCAGTTTTTCAAAGATATGCACTGCTTTTTTTAATCAGTTAATAGATACATGCACATCAAGCTATTAATAGAAAATGCAAAATGCACTAAATTTTATCATTGCATCATGAGTTGTACAAAGTAATACCTCGTACTACTATTCTGGACTTAAATAAGTTGCATGTCAATCACTCCAAAAGATATAGTATGGACAAGCAAAATGCCATTTTAGGTCAGAGGAGTTTAAACTTAATTTTTTCTGATCAATCCTTCTCCAAACAAACAAACAAAACCTTGCAGATTGCCTAGAACTCAATGCCCCCTGACAGTTACACACTGCAGGGAATATTACAACTAGTCATTGCACTACATACAGCTGTGCAGAAATGATACGCAGTTCCACAAACTGAGTTAATCTTTCCTTGCAGTCACCCTGCTGATAATGAGTGGTGGAAGAGGATCCCTTTTCTCTAGTTCTGCATTCCAGAAGAATCCATCATAAGCAGCCTTTTCAGGCATTTTGTATGCCTGACCTAATTTTAAAATGTTGCAAACATGTACATCTTTGGATATATTCTGCACAGTTTATAATACAAATCACAAAATGTAATCTGAGAGGCAACAGTGAGACAGTTTCCCTCTGTGCTTCACATTAAACATTCTGCGGTGGTCCAAAAGAGGTGACCAGTTTCATGAAGGGTATAACTAGCCCTTGCTTAGCAGATTAATTGTATGGTTTGAATCATGCTGATTAATTATTATTTTATGATGTTTATTATGGCATGGGTTCAGTCAGCCTAAGTTCACAGAATGCCGTAGTATAGATGCTAACTAGAGAAAGAGATGTGACTTGGATATAAAAATGCTATTGTAAGACCGCAGCATCACTACTTCACCTACTATGAGTTATTTAAAAAATCAGCTCTCTAGGATCTTGCCTTAAGATGAAAGAAAAGGAAAACGTGTCGACTCCTTGCAGTGCTGCAAGAGGCCACGTCAAGAAAACATACACTGCAGGGATTCAAGAAAGGCCACTTTACTGTTGTAGAGTTATTTACAAATTTTGAAAATCCTGTGCAAAATCTTCACAGTCCCCCTTGAAGGCCAAAAAAATCAAGATGGAGCTAGGCTGAGTCTCTTCCCCATACTTTCCACTCTCCCAGGTATAAGCAAACATTCTCCTTCTCCCACCTATTTCTCAAGGGCAGAGCTAAATTCCTGCACAACATATTTCTGAATCTTTTGCTCTTGGAAGAAAATTTGCAAATATGTAGGAAGTACCCTGAGTGAACATTCCTGAGTCTAAACAGTTTCTGCAGCTGCTTGCTCTACTACACCTGTGATTATTATGCATCATTCATCTCCATTTTTATGTTGTCTACATTCTGCCTCTCTGTACAAAATTTACATTTCAAAGGCAGAATTATTTATCCAATAGAAGATACAGAATTGTATTAATCTCTCCTCATACTTCCTGGTGAAGTGATGTAATCATGATAGGAAACATCCCCAAGTTGCCATAATAGCAACAGCATTTAGCAATAGCACTTAAACTTATATGCTGCTTCACGGTGCTTTACAGCCCTCTCTAAGCAGTTTACAGAGTCAGCATACTGCCTCCAACAATGTGGCTCCTCATTTTACTGACCTCGGAAGGATGGAAGGCTGAGTCAACCTTGAGCCTAGTGAGATTCAAACTGCCAAATTGAAGGCAGTCAGCAGTCAGCAGAAATAGCCTGCAGTATTGAATTCTAACCACTGCACCACCAGCGCTCATAAGGTCCAGATACTTCAAAGAACCACCCAGTAAGGGTCACCCTCCATAATAGTTAGGATCTAACTGGCTAATGAAACACTATGAAACATGTTAATGAATATGTGATCCACTGAATTCAGGGACAGATGAAGCCAGTGATCCTGTAGCCTTCCACACAGAGCTGGGCTGTTGTTTGGTTAGATCCTATCCATGAATGAATCTTTGAGCTATTCTTTATGCAATGCAAACGATTTACATTCCTTCTCCATCTTTGGACAGGAGCTTTGGTGCTTGGGTTGTAAATCTCATAGTCTGGAGATTTCATTAGTGAGGTTACTTAATTGGAATGTGAGAAGGCTAAGCTGTAAAATGTCTGAATCACTCTCAGGGTGAATCATTGTGGCATAACTGAGTCCTTCTCCCTTCTAGCACAAAATCTAAAGTCTCCTGAAATTAGAGGGAAGATGGGTCATCTTAAATCCCAGCATTTAAAAAACCTCTTAATCTACACAAATTCAAAAGTATTTAGAAGAAGTTAGCAGTGCTGACTATCCAGGGACTTAACAAACTGACTAGATGCTTTGTTGGATTTTTATAATTTTATTTTTACATATTCATAGTTTTCATTCACTGTACATGCATTCAATAAAAGCATTTGATAGAAGCACAGTGACATCACATGCATCACAACACATAGCATAGATACATATGCCATTTGATGCATAATTGGTATGATAATAACCTGTTGCGCATGATATTTCTACCTCAACCTATGATGTGAGGCCATCTGTGCTCTTCCAGACATTGTTTAACTCCAACTTCAAATGTACCTCAACATTGGCTGGAGCTGCTGGAAGTTGTAGTTTCAATATCTAGAACCCCATAGAAATGGTCCTTAAAGTGATGTTGGCAAAGGGTATTTAACTTAGAAGTTTTTTATATAGGTCAGGAAATACAGTCAGCATGCTTTTCCAACTCTCTCATCATATTGCTATTATATTTCATGAAATGAGATTAAAGAAAGCCACAGAGTGATGGAATTCAAGATGTGATAGAAAATGACCACTCCCTGTCAAATACATTTTTGCTCAATTCTTAAGTCAAAAACTAGTATATGCAGCCAAGAAGAAAAATTAAGCATCTTCTGTCAGGATTGCCACATGAACAAAACATGCACACAGTTTACTCCTGTGCATTTATCCATTGTTTGACTTGAATGAAATTAGCTACTTCAGCAATTCACAAGAATATTGGGTCAACTTTAATAATAAAAGAACACAAGAGAAATGCGGGCACCTCTATTAGTAATCTAGCATTTTGAGATTTATCAAGGGGAATTTGGCTGTGTCCTTGGAACAGTTATTTCTTTTCATAAATTTCAGACATTGTTACTGAGGCAAACCTAGAAAGAGAGGAGTAAGGAAAGCACTGTTGCTTAGCAACAAGTATGGGGTTGTTAAGCAACAGCTTCCCTGCACTTTCCATTCCCCACTCCTCAGAATAAACATCACTGTTAAGTTTACAAAAAAAAAAAAAAAAGCAGGGGAGAAAATGTGATAAGTAAAAAGCCAGAGGGAAGAAGACGACAAGGTGCTATAAAAACAGTTCACAATGTACAGACTGCAGACAGTGTAGGCACACAAAACACTACTATCACCAGACGGGTTGTTTTTCTCTTTCAGTTTTGGACAGCAGATCCAAATGGCTCCAAACCCCCATTTTCTAACCCAAACAGAGCAGATTCTAACTTGAAACAATTCCAGTAAAGTCAGAACAATGAGCTCTGAGCTTTAAGACTGAGTTTGAAACGTTTCTGCTCTGAAACATTCTGCACACCTCTTTGTGCAGCCTGCTATCCCAGGGCACAAAACAGGTACAGTGGAGACGGTCTGCCCTCTTAGCACAAAGTGGGGAAATACTGTCTTGAAGGAAGCCTGGCTGCCTTTGCTATTCCCCCTTCTTAAGGCTGGCTACTTTATTTTATCCAAAAAGACCAGAAAAACAGCAATGGGATGTATCTGCCACAGGGAGCTCCTTGGGTTCACTTCTTGGGGAGAATGGGGGTGGAATGACTTGTCCTGAAAAGCCCAGAAGGGTATTTTACAAGCTGATACCATATATAGCCAGAAACTGTACTGCTCCCTTTTTAACATTGAATTATTGTATATTTATTTCATTTATTTATTTACCAGTACATGGCTTATAAATCATTCCAACTAAAACTAGCTCTGAAAGGGTTTCAAGCAGGGATGAGCTTCTGGGGGTTCGCAGTAGTTCAGGAGAGCCCCTAGCTAAGATTCTGTGCAGTTTGGAGAACCCCCAAATCCCACTCCTGGCTGACCCCACCCACCCCACCCCATCCCTCCCAGGAGTCCCCACCCACACGGCCTGTTTTAGATGCAGGAAAGTGCAGGGCGCACACGGACGTTTGGGGAGGGTGAAAAATGGGACTCCTGGAAGTTCGGAAGGCCAGAAGTGGGCCAGTTTCCGGCTTCCAGAGAGCCTCTGGAGCCCTGGGAGGCCATTTTCACCTTCCAGAGCCCAGGGACGGCAAGAACACACACACACACACACACACACACACCACCATGGTGCAGGACGCCAACTAGGTCACACCTACCATGGCCATGCCCACCCAGCAACTGGGCAGAGAAACCTTTGCTAAAAATTTTGAAGCCCACCCCTGGTTTCAAGTGCTTATTGAGCATGGCCCCTAATATATCATGAAGCTTCTTAGGGCAAAAATGTTTAATCTAATTTAGGAGTTAAATTTATGGAGTGAAATAGGTGTATTAAGTCTAAAGGAGGCCATACTGCTCCTGTTTTACCCCTTATTTTGTTCCAAACCTTTACTTATGGTATCAACATTTTTGCCACTCTGAGTAGTGTGAGCTGAAGAAGCTCTGGGGATCACAATAGGGCTAGGGGACATGTCAGAGACCCATAATGTGGCTACTCCTGCCTTTAAGATTCCCATTGCTAAGGTTAGAAGTGGATAAACAAACACCCAAATCTTGTCAGTGGGAATAAGAAAGCCAATTGTTTCCCTAGTGCCTAGATTTTAATTTATATAAATGCCCGTGATGCTTTAAGTTTTACAAAATGCCAGAATTATCCACTGCCAACAGCACATCCATGGTCTTTGGTGCTTACTTCATTGTTTATTTCAATTTTCTTCAATTCAGATTAATACAGAAAAGACCACACATGACAAAATGGAAGTTACACATTTGTAAAAAGGAGTAAAGAATATATGGGTAATAGGAAATACTTGAAAGTTTAGGGCAAATAAAAAATGGTCTGTCAGAAAGACAAAAAAAGAGTTGCTCTGTACTAATAGCAGAACATTAGTCAGGGTTATGAGGTTTCTTGATTAACACAAAGGCCTACACTACTTTCTGGGTTTAAATTGATTATGGGTATTTGAGTTTTTCAGCTACAGTTGGGATTTTATAAAACAAAAAAACTCAAGCCTTGTCCAGTGGCCATCTGGAAATGTGTTTTGGGTTATGACTTCATCTCCCAAATCAATGCTCCCACTAAGAAGCTGTAACAATCTCCCTTGAAAGGAATATGCCTGGGCATAGAGCTTCTTTGACTGACTATTTGGTACCATAGTATTTCAATGTATTATACAAGAGTGGTTCCATTGTATACCATCCCACTTATGAATATTTTTCTGGGTACTTCCCTGATTTCTACCCTATCTATTTCTACCTGGCTTTAATTTTAGAAAACAGAGCAAGAAAATGTGACAGAACAAAAAAAAACAGTATAACTTTTTACATTTCTACAGTATTTTTCATAGTTGCAGAAAAGGATACCAATGAAAGCTGTGTCATAGGCTGAGAAGATAAGTTAAGGTGGTATTTCTAATGACCAGGATGCTAAGAGCTTTCTAGCAGGCCATTTCCCTTCTGTTGTCAGCCCTTTGAGGTAGACCAGACTAGGAAATTAAAGTCAAGAATGCTACTATTTTTATTGTAATATTACAGTAACATATATTTTTTTACAAATGAATACATCTCCTTTCCTCTCCCTTTATCTTCATCAGAATTAAAGAGGGTTAAGTCTGAGATGCTTCCTCAAGCTAAATTTCTGCATCAGACTGAAATTTCTTTTGCCTGACTACAAGCACTGTTCTCCTGTTTCTCAAGGTTATTCTTGTTGCCCATTGCATCTACAGCCATACTAACTTCTACCATTAATGCCCGTGCTGGACCTGTTGATAAACAGCATATGCCCACATTCTTGGTTAAATTTCCAACCCTTTCCCTGAACAGAGTTTTACCATAAGATATCCCAGTTGGAACACAGCGGCCAACAATTGATATGGATAGTTATGGAAGTTGTACATACCTGGCAATAAGGTAGCTACATTGTTGTTATCCTCAGTCCCACAGCTAAGAAATACATCAACAGTGTCTTGGTCAGAGAGATCCAACATGTCCATCTGTTCCAGCATGTCCACATTGACCTCCATGGAAGAAATGCTACCTAGGGGAGCTGGGAAAATGTAGGGACTATCAGAGGTTTCACTGCATGAAGAATTCTCATAATACCACAGGGCAAGACCTACACATGGCTTGATAACTGTTTGTACCTATACCTATTATGGAAGAAATGGATATCCATTTCATAGCTTGCTGCCCAAATTAATCACAAGTAAATTACAAAGTTACTGACTGTTCTCACACAAATAACACATAGTTTTCCCATACTCTCATTCAGTACCATGAAACAGGGTAGGCAGCCTTTCCTGGAGCCTAAACTAAATTGCACAATGATGTAGAGAAGACAAGGCTGCATCATAGCATGAACAGGACCAGGTTTTCCTCCCTATTTTTCTTCTTCTTACTCTTCTAGGATTTGTATGTGATGTTTTATTATTTTAACAGCATTGGGCCTATTTGAGGGCACATACTGTTATTTTTTTGGGGGGGGGGTTGGAGGGTTCAAGGTGGAAAAAGCTGCCTTTCTGCTGAAAAACAGTGGTACAATTGCTGTAAAATGTCACAAAAAGAGATTTGGAGTAGAACACTGGTACTTGATGATACAGGTTGCCCATGTATGATCTATGGACTTGACACTTGAACTTACGCCTCCTGTGTTCTATCTGCAGGTGTGATACTGGGAAGAAGAAATCAACATCATGCTGGAAAACTTCTTCAAAGAATCTTTGCCTTTCCCAAAGTTTCAGCTGCTGTTGTTGCATCTGCTCAGGGTCCAGCCCCCGTTGTCCATTTTCAATATCAGCTGAAATGAAATCAGAATGAAAAATTGAAATAATGAAGTGTTCTCTCCTGTTCTTTTCAGAACCAAAAATTGTCCTTAACAACATGCAGGATAGAAACACATTTCTTTAAAGAGAAATGTTAATGGTTTGAAAAAAGTTTCACTTCTGTGGGTTTTTGCACAGGACAGGAAGCTGGACTAAAATTATCTCCAAGATCCTTTTCCATTTTTACATACTTTCATGCATGATTCTATAGTTTCGTTTTATTGTCACTTCCTGCCAAGTAGGAACAAACCCCATTAAAGCATGTTTAGTAGTGGTGAAAATCAGAAGACTTAACACATTGTAACTAGTATAAATTATTTTCTGTTTTCAAGCTATCTTGAGTTATATGAAGAAACCAGACCCAACAATTTCTGACTTGCTAAATCAATTGGACTATTTTTTACAGAACTATAACGTGATGCAAGATGATGCAAACCAAAGCTTATATTCTGACCAGCTAATCCTCTTCACTTTCCAAAGTCTCAAATAATTTATAATCCTTTCTAGAATGTATTCATACTGCAGCAGTTTATAGCACAGAATTGCTTTGCAAAGAAAAGCACCATGTACACAGCTTTGAGCTCTTGGACGCACGGTGGTGTAGAAATGCATTGAACTTCCTATTTGTGATGATGAGGAAAAAACATTAAAACTTTTGCCCTACTCATTACGAAGCAGACCAGTTCTGTGAAATACACAAAATGAACCAGAAAATGACATAGTAAAGACTTATTGAATTATCTAGGCTACAGGAATCAACAAGAAAGGTTACCTTCAAAATGTCAAATTGATTGGTTCCTTTTGATTCACTAAACCAAATAAAAGATCAAAAAATTTACGTTGAAAGGATGCTGATAAATACTACCTCTGAAGAGGATATATTTGAGGGCAAAATTCATCATTATCCAATATGAAACCATTTTGACATGGTGGGAACAAGCTTCCTTATTTCGCATTTAATATGTTTCCCCTTTGAGCTTTGCCTATCCACCTATAAGAAAAATAATTTGGTTTCGCTTATTTCCAATCCATGTAATGAAATCTATGTAAATAAATAAGTTAATAGATAAATGTTTCAGTGTTTTCTGTTAATAATTATGGTTTTAGGTATTTATTGTTTTATTGTTTTAATGTGCTGTAAGCTGCCAAGAGAATCTTGTTCTGTGAAATGGGCAGCTATATAAATTAGATAGGATAGATAGGCAGGCAGGCAGGTAGACAGACAAGAAATGTTATATAAGAACTGGCACAAGAAAAATATAATTCATTTAAATGTATTATTCAGGTTGTGTGGGGGCTGTATAACTTATCTAGAGAAAAGGGACATATTGATAAATTAATAAAAAACCTTGTGGGCCACAAATATGATTTACAATAATTGTGATTTATAATCTATGACCTACCATTTTGCTGCTTGTATGTACTCTGAGAGCTTATGCACTGGAGACAAATTCCTTGTGTGTCCAGTCACACTTGGTCAATAAAGAATTCTATTCTATTTTATTCTAAATATTGAATGGAGCTCACAGAAGTAAGAACATGAATAGACAGAGACAACTCTTCCAATATTTTTATGCTAAACAAAGGACAAAAGCTTTGTTAAATCTTTGCCAAGAACATTAGCATATCTTCTGATGTCAGTTTAAATTTAGCAAAGCTAGTCTTAATTAGTTTTTAAGGCCATTATATTTTCTTAGTGTAATCTGCTTGAAGCTAACAGTTCAGGTTCTGTTTAGGTTCTGAAGTTGCAAGAAACTACTTGAACTACTTACTGTGCAAAGAAATTGTCTTGTAGTCTTAGTGGATTCACTTAATACAAGGTTTGTTGCAAAGTGCATCACTCTGACCATTCACTGGACAATTTGTTTACTTTCTGAATTAGAAAACTGACCAAAATAAATTGAAATAATGAAGCCCATTTCAGAGGGTAAGTAAACCAACCTTTTGGAGTATCTCCTTCAAAAACAAACATTGCTAAATCTGCTTCTTTTCAGTGTGATTAATATGAATGAAATCCACCCATATTTTCTTTTTTGGATCCTATAATCCCGTCATAAATTTTCTCCAGCGTATACAATAATTGATCCTTGAATACAGGATATTCAAGATAAGTTTGGGTTTTTTGAATTGATTTTTAAAAATTATTTCAAAGATGCAACTCACAAAGAGACAAAAAGGAACTAGATTCAATCAAGTAATCATAGTCCATTATAAAAAGGCTGAATGTTGAGAAATCTCTTTTTTTTCCCTGGGAAAATCCACATAATCAAGGAAACAAAGTAACAGATGGAATAAGAATGGCCCCTTGACCTTATCTAGGAGATTTTCCATAGCAAATATCAGATGCCTTTAAAAATTAAAGACATTTCAGCTCCTCTATTCAACAAGTGATGGTGCAGGGACTGGCTAGACTGATATAAGGAAAATGTGATTACTAAGCTGGGCAGTGCCATAACCAAGGAAACCAAACAAATAGTGAAAATTGTAATTGTCTCAAGTACAACAGCCTTTTCAATTGCCTCAGGGGAAATTTCAGCTCAACAGCAACTACTATTAAACTTCCTGTTCTGGGAAGGGAAAAAGAAAAGTGGGAGATGAAGAGGCAGTGTTTCTCTGGTGTGGCCTATGCATTCAGCTCCAGACTGGGAGAAAAAAAATCTCTAAATCCATTGGTACCAACCAAAATGATGTAACGAATATGCAATTTTGAGTTCTCCAGAACTTTTCATCAATCGTCACTGAATTCAGGAGAAGTAGGAAAGCTACACTCCTATCATTTGGCTGGTCCTAAGAAAGGCATCACCCAATGTTTGATTTGAAACTATTTTTCCCATGTATCAACCTGGCAATGGCAGCCTTTTATGTTTCAAGAAGCAATTCAAGAACCTCTGCAGCTACCAAATACAGTAAAAGAAGGCATGTTTAACCACTTGATATAGATATGGCTCATGTACTATTTTAATTCATGGTCATCAGCCAACAAACGTGTTTTTCCACCTGAGAAATTACTCAAGATAAAATTTACCCCACATGCCACCCTTCAAATATGCTGAGATTTCAAATTCCAGAATTTCCACCTAGCACAAGTTTCAATTAAAAGGGATCCAGTAGCAGATGATGAAAATAATGTCTCTCTTGTCCTAGAGGCTAGAAGATCAGAGCAGATTAGTCCAACCAGATGTGTTGAAACATAATTGCCAAACAGCATGTTGAAAAGCTAAGCATTATGGGAGTTTTTGTTGCTCAGTTATTCATTTACCTTCAATTTGTCCAAGCATCAAGATCTTTTCCAATGACCTTCCCTTTCATTATAGATCCAAAATGTCGAAGCTTCATCATTATTATTTTTAGAGAGCAACCTGTTTTCACTTGATCTAGTACTGAACAACTTGTTCTTTCTCCCTTCAAGGGTATTTTCAATTTTCTGTCATGTTTTTAATTCAACTTTTCGTACTGTGCTTTCCATATCTTCTTAAAAACTGGGTATTTTTGTTGGCATCATCTTTAATGAAGCCATGAATTTCATTCTAGAGTTCTTCAGGCAATCCTATTAATCAAATCTAATCCATTTAATTAATTTTTATTTTTACTGCATCATCATATGCAATAAATAAGTTTGAGTGGGTGCTTCAAAGGAAATAAAAACGAATGTCTGTGTAATATTGTACTGTAATTTTTATAGGGAGATGTAGAATTCTTTCTTTCTGCCTTTTCTGTGCCAGTATCCAGGATTGTTATTATGCAATAAAAATAATTCCTACCTTCTGATTATCAAAAACAGTAATCTTTTAGGCAGTTGGATGAAGGTATTTGCTATAAACATTATGTATATAGCTCCCCATGTCACCCAAGATGACTTTGGATAATGCACAATAGCTAAAAAGCAAAGGTATAAAATATATTGGATCAAATTTAGTCTACCCCCTAATGACCTGTCATACGTGACAATGTTGGGAGTGCATATTCCCACTGATATAGTTCAGAGAATCAGTGGGAGGTGCAAGCCCTTCACAATTACAAGGGAATGATCCAGAAAAGAACCAATATATCAAGAAATCAGCAAAATAGGGGAAGGTCCAGTACTGATCACACAGTCAACACCAATTCCTCCAGATTCATGCACGTGACAGCTTTTGTACATGGGTCTACACGTGGTCAAAATACTTAACCATGGCTATTGAATATCTCTTCAGCCACAGTGGTTCTTCTTTACTCCAGTAAGATTTCCATGTTCTTCTGGAATCCTTTATTAACAGACATGAATGAATTTCTGGCTGCTTAGATGAGTTTTCCTATAGAAAGCAGCCAGCAATTAAAGCAAAATTTTGATGGAAAAGGAACAGATTTTGATGGCTGAGGCAATGATTTCTAAACACTGGAGGTGCACTTGTTCAATTTCCTAAAGCTTTTGCATGATAAGAGCTGGCATAAGCTGAGGCTTTACTTCCTAAATGGCACCCTCAGCAAGACAGTAAAAATTCTGCAATCTCTAAATTGTCTTAGTTTTGCATGATCGCCTTGGTTTCTGCTTTTCATGGAATTGAAAAGCCATTTAAGTACAATGCCTTACTCTCAACACTCTTTACACTTTGAAGTCCATCATATGAATACTCCAGATGTTCCAGAACCTCAGCTCCCACTAGTCTCAGCCACTATGGCATAGAGTGAGGAATGCTGGGAGATGCAGTACAGTAATATCAGGAAGGCCACCGTTTGTTAATACTATACCTGGAGACTTACTTATGAACAAAACATGAAAGGAAAAGGGAAAAAAAACCACCAATGCTTGGAGAGCTCATTTCGTTCTTCATCAAATGCAGCAGCAAATACAACTAGAATAGGTGCTGATAATAATGATGTCATCATTCCAAGTAATGGACTGAGGGAAGTCAGGACTCTAACACTTTGCTCAGGTTCAAGAGATCCTTTATTGAATACATCATATAGGCACTTAGAAAGGTGATGCTACCTCTAA